GCACTTTTGGGGGGACTTTAGCCTATACATACAACACACTGTAGCTACCTGAACCCACATCCTCAGGACACTGATATCAGCACCCCCATTTTACAGATGGAGAAACTGACTCGAGCAGCAAGGAGCCAAGGCTAAGCTTATTTGGCTTCTCCCTCCCGCACTGGGCCAGAGTATCTGGCACCAGGCGCTGGGTGTTCACCGAAGCATGCTGTGCTGATGTACTGATCCTAAAGCCTGGGGCTTCTGACTCCAAGTCCGGACCCTTCCCTTCACAGGCAGTGTGGTCCCTAGGCACCAAGTCTGTGTCATCTGTCCTATCCCCCCTCCCCTCCGGTGCCTGCAGCAGGCAGCAGCCAGACAGGGAGCAAGGAGTCCTCCCTCGCCGTACAAATATTTACTTGGCGGCATGGACTCTAGCCGGCCCCGGCTGGCTCCAGGGCAGTAGCAGAAGAAAGATCAGGAGCTGGCTGCGGCAGAGCAGAGATGGCGGTGGCGGTGGCGGTGGTGGTGGTGGCGGGAGCTGACACCTCCCAGGCAACGGTGACAGCGATGTGGGTGCGCACAGGACACCTGGTAGAAGGAAGTCGGGGAGGAGGCAAACATCCCTAATCCTGAGCCCGGGGGACAGGAGGGCTCAGGCTCCTCTCCAGCCATCTGTGACACAGAAGATAAACGAACCACCAGCCCAGCATCGCCTCCCCGCTACCGTCAAAAGCCGGGGCTGCAGGTTCGCATAGTCCCCAGCCTCCAGAGTCACTGATACACAGCAGGATTTCAATCGATTCTCCTGGAAGTCAGTGCATCTGGCTGCGGCAAAGGGCACGTTCAAATTCTGGTCAACCCTGCTGTGTCCTTCAAATACCGACACGTGTGAAGATTCAGCCACGGGCATGATGGGAGAGCCCGCGCGTGTCTGCGTGGACACACGCTGGGGGGTGCCTCCGCTGGGCCAGGCCAAAGGCCCTGCCCCGCATTCCTCAGCAAAGGAATCTTCAGCGTCAGCTGTCTGCTGCTTCCTTTTCTTTCCTGGGACAGCACTCCCCCGGCTCCCTCTAGTTTAAGGCTCTGAGAATTCTTCCCAAATTTGTCCCCAGGGAAAATACCAGTCCAGCCAAGAGACTCAGTGATAGGCTGCTGGGTGGTTTCCGGATCTCAGGGATCGGAGGACCGAGACGAGGCGTTTTGTGTGTTTCCCTTTCTGTCCTTTCCTTCCTTCTTTGTTTCTTCCCTTTCTTCCTTCCTTTCTCTTTCTTTCTTTTAAAGGAAGTTAGGAGAAAGGGCTGGGGGAGGCGAGAGACTTCCGGAAGCACAAATCAACTGCTAAGATGGGCCGTAGGCCCTTCTGAGGTGCAAGACAAAGAGGCAGCCTGCTTTCCCTCCGCCCTCGGCACCATCTCTGGCGCCTTCCATGGGACAGAGAGAGCGGCAATGTGTCCTGAAATGGATTTGTTGGGCAGTCCGGGGCTGTGCCCAGAAAGCCTCATAAATTAAGGGAAGCGACTTTGCCAGGGGAAGAGGGGTGGGCAGGAGTGGAGGACACACTTGGAGCCTACTGAGCCCCAGGGACCTTAACACAGAGCTCATTTATTCCCCCCCGAGCCTCGGGGGAGCAACAGCAAAGTGGCTCAGGCCGCTCAGAGAGACCAAGTCACCTGCCCATAGTCACACAGATACAGCAATGGCAGAGCCAGGATCTGAATCCTTTTCCATCAGTGGGAGCTTCAGAAATATTGAAAGCGTGGATGAAAATGGCAGAAAGCAAAGCCCCCAGAGACCGTTCTGGGGCAGTCTTCGGGCCTTGGGGCACTCAAGGACCAGCACCCAGCTGCTCGAGGGCCTCCCAGGAGCGTGACGGGAAAGACAGGACACTCCAGCTGACCCACCCACCATCCCTTTTGGGAGACCTCCATTCTGGCTGGCAGCCCAGCCCTTCCGGTGCATAGGCAGAAATAGCTGTGACAGAAGTCCCTCCCATCCCAGAAAGTAGCTTTTTAAGAAATGCTTAAAACAGACACACAGCAACGTGGAGAGGGCTTTGCTCGGCCTGACTGCAGGCAGTGATGCGGGCGTCACATCGGAGCGGTGAGGCAAACTCTCGGTAGCCCAGCTCGGCTGTGCGGCTCAGCACCCTCCGGGTTCTCAGTTTCCCCGGCTCTAAATAAAAGTACACAGTTGAATCTGCTGTTGTGAAACTGAAATTTCCTCAGGCTACCCCTTGGGAATCCCAGCTAAATAGCTGCTGGGGTTGACATGGGTTCTTAGCCTCCTACTGTCCCTGTGATGGTCCCTGAGGCTCTGAAGGGCCAATCTAAAAATCACCACATCCCTCTAGACTCTCCCTCTAGCACCCTCATCCCTCTAGCACCCTCCAGTCACTCCAGGCACCAAGGAGAAACAAGTCTAGCCCTGGGCATGCGAGGAAACAAACCTGGCCAGCTCCAAATCAGTTCAGGTCCACACAGGCTTTGGATCAGGGGCACCAGGTCCCAAGTCACCCTGCCCAAAAGGTGGTTATGCCAGCACCACCAGCCCTGGGCAACTTCCTCCACTACCAGGCTATAGGGGACTTTTTCTTAACAGCCCCTCAGTATGCCAGCTTCCTTTTCCAGCCAATGAAGAGAGAAGAAATTACCCAAACAGTGGTTCAGCCTGGGGTTGGGCTAAGCAGTACTTCCCGTGCCCTGGCAAAACAAAGAGGACCAGGAGGCCCAGAAACGATCAGCCATGACCTAGACCACTTCGTGACAGATCTAAAGTATAGAGCAAGCTGAAGGGATCACCCAAAGCAGTCCTGCCATGTAAAAGTGGAGGACCTGAGGCTCAGAGAAGGCTTGCAGTTGGCTGGAGATCACACAACACACAGTGGCAGAGCAGGACCTGGAGTTCAGGTCTCCTGCATGCCAATTCAAAGAACTCTCCTCCACCTGTTTAAAGTTCAGACAGATTCAGCAGGAATCTCCCAGAGAAAGCACCCAGCTTGCAAACTCAGAACAGGATATTTTGGTGGCCCTGGGTGGTGACATAGTGAAATGTTTGTTTTGGTTTCCAAATCAACGCTTGACAACCTTGTCCTCTATACCGTTTCTGTGACCGCATTTCCCACGTGGTAAAGAGCTACCAGGCTAAGGGGAAATCAAAGATGTGACGAGCAGTTCCAGGACTGGGGCACCCTGGCCAGGAGCTCTGGTCTGCGTTAGTGTTACCAAAGCATGATTCATGTACCACCAATGGCACATGAGATGATGTTAGGTGGTACAGGGGTGAATTTTAAAATTTAGAATATATTCAGCAAATGAATAAAGTGTGGTCTACCTATACAGCATTCGCTAGCAATAAAAAGGATCATTCTACCTACTACACTGCAGATAATCTGAAAAACATCTCAGTGCTAGATCTTGCCACACAGGCTACATCGTACATAATTCCACTTCTATGAAATATCCAAGGAAAGCAAATCCATAGAAACAAGACGGTAGATCGGTGATTGCCAGGGCTGGGGTGAGGATAAAAGCCATCACCACACAGGCTTGGAGGATCTTTTGGGGGAATGCACATGTTCTAAAACTACACTGTGCTGATAGTTACACAACTGTGAATTTTCTAAACATCACTGATCTACTTCAAAATGGGTGGATTTTATCAAAGGCAAATTATGCCTCCGCAAAGCTATGAAATTATTTCATGTAAGTAGCAACGCAAGTATAGTACAGATGAGGGCCACAGATTATGGATATAAAACCCAAAAACTCCCACCTTAAAGAACACTGAGCTACATGTGCTACGTTGTCACAGAGGCAAGAGGGATTCTCCGGGGCTGTGAGTTCCTGAAAGTGACCACAGGACACCCTGGAGCCCTTTCCTTTCCTGGCCAGTGACCCTCCACTGGTATCTTCTTGGGGTCCATGCTAGACACCCTGGAAGGACCTGAAGCTTTCAGTGGCCAGTAGTCTAGGCAAACACCTTAGTCTCATCTCCCTGACCATGACTTCTCTTATTGGCAGAGGACTGAAGGTGGGCAGGGAGCTCAAACTCAGATTTACATATTATCAAAGCTGGGAAGACCCTTTGAGACAGTGTAGCCAAGTGGTTCTAAAACTTTCTTTATAGTTCATTGTATGCTCACCTTCCTCCAAAATAAAAATCTTATAAGAAACCCCAACATAGTACACAACAAGAAAAAGCAGAATCGTATGTGTACATTTATATTGTAAGCTCAAGTATCTGTCACTACCATCGTAAATTCAATCAACATGATGGATGAGGCTCTTTTGATGCCTTAACACTGATGACGGGGACTATGGGTGTCAATTCCATATTCAGATTACCTCCATCCCCAGTTTCAGCTGCAAACCATGAAAAAGATCTTGCCACACACAGATACAAAGCTGTGAATGGGAATCATTTTAAGCAGCTTACATAGTAATCTGGGAATTCCTTTCAGACAAGCAGAGAAAGGTAGAACGACACTTTAATTCAAGACCAACCACAAACAAGTTAGTATGTTAACGGAATCCAATAAGACAACATTAAGAACTTAAACATGAGTTGGAACATTCCTAGGACTCTATTATCATCTAAACGTATTTTAAATAATAATTTTTATGAAATATTTAAAGAACCCAAAAAAGCACGACTGCCGGGTGTGGTGGTGCATGCCTGTAATCCCAGCACTCGGGAGGCTGAGGCAGGAGGATCACTGTGAGTTCAAGGCCAGACTGGGCTACAAAGGGAGCTCAAGGCAAGCCTGAACTACATAGCGAGACCCTGTCTCAAAAAAGACAAAAAAAAAAAGAAAACAACAAAAAGCACCACTGAGGAAACTTGGAACTCCGAGGAGTAGAGTTCTAGCCCCAGAGATACTTGCTTTGGAAAAATCCAACGTGAGCCCTTCAGGAAATTAGAAAAGATGGGTCTTTTCAATTCACCAAAAAAAAAAAAAAAGAAAAGAAGAAGTGTGCACACACCCCAGAAAGGTAGGAAGACAGATACCCGTACTCCACCTGTCTCAGCACCACAGGCTCATTCCAGGCCAGTGCCAGAAGCTGGTATCATACTCCACACCCTGGGTGCAACCTGGACAGAGCATTGCTCAATGCCAACCCACCTCACTCTGACACTGGGCATGGTCCTTCTATCTCCTTAGCAGCGAGGTCCAAAAAGCACACACACAGTAAAACAAACGCAGCGCAAGCCTGTGGCATGACGACACAGTCAACAGTGACAGACAGGAGGGCCCAGCCCTCCCCTCCCTGAGTTTCACCATTAAAAGCAATTGTCTCTTTCCCTGGATGGCCCTAACAAGGCTGACCATGAAGGGTACAGGAGTGGCCTCCCTACAAGTGGCCATACTTAAAACCTCTAGAGAGCAAAGTACCCTAGGGGAGAAGCTTATCCCCCAGAAACCTGGCCCTACAGGGGAGACCAGACCAGCACGGGCATTTCTGCTCCCTGCTAGCTGGACTAAGTGCCTATCATGGTTAATAACATCCTCTTCCATTATCTTACACCTGGCCAAAGCATTAGCTTTCTTGCTCTCTCCCTTAAGCAACTGTGGGTGCATTTTACTATTCCCATTTCTCTGATGAGAAAACAGGCTTGCTAGTGGTTTGACATTCTCTCCAGCAGGAGACGTAGTTAGCACCTGATTCCTTCCCAACTGCTACTGGGACAACGGAGACCCACGTCAAGCTCCCTCGGCAGACTTTAGGGATGGAAAAAAAGTTCTTCTTGGTTCAGAGCCGTGGCTCCAAATACAGAGTTGACAGCAGCCCTGGGCCCAAAGATCCCTGTCCCACCCTCTCCCACCCTGAGACACTACAGACAGACCGACTTATCAGAAAGCAGAGGACCAGCATCGTCAGCCAGGCTGCAGGCAGGAAGCACAGTCACTCTCCCAGCCAGGGAATCTGGGCTGGGCAGGAACACACTAACCAGTCCTGTGGGAAGTGTGTCCCCAGCTCCAGCCAGAGTCCTCGGCCTGGGTCAATCCAATGTCTTCCAGCACAAGGTTATTTCCTCCTGGGGGTCTCTAGGGCTGACTTCACTGGGGCTCAATAAGCCATAAAACTTGGGCGTGTGGAGGACAGCAGGCATTTTCAGAAGCTTGTAGCTAGTCTGCTGTAGTTCTGGCTCTCCAGGCCAGGGAGCTGTACCTTACAGAACTGAAGATAACAGCGCTTGGTCCAAGAGGATAGGGACAGATCCATGCATTGTCCCACACGTGATCTTATTTAATTTGAGGAATAAAAAGAGACAGTGGGATGCTTAAGATTTTTTTTTTTTTAACCTAGGGAGGGAGGGGAGCCTACTTCCCACATCCTTGGGGAAATACTTGTCAATTCCTGACTTCAGCATGTATTGGCCAAGCTGCCTTGGGCAAGTCACTTTGAACCTCTGCACCTCAGTTTCTTCCTCTGCAAAATGGGATGAGACTGCCTCACACTGCATTGTCGCAAGGACTAAATGAGATCATATACACCGCTGGATATTACGTCCCCTAGGAAAGAATGTGCCCGGACCAGTGACGGCGCCGCCAGGATCTCCCCACGGTAGTCAGCACCCGGCCCGTTCTCAGATCTAGGTGACCAAGTCTCCCTAGGCGCGTGTAGGGCGCTCTGCAAGCTAGCCTGCAGCCCAGCTGCCAGGCCCAGCTGCCGGCCGGCCCTCCCTTCTCTGTCCCCTGCTGCACACACACATGCCGGGGCCGCCGAACCTGGGGCGCGGCGGGGGAGGGGAGGCCCCACTCACCTCCGCTTGTACTCGTCGCGCTCGCGCTTCACCTTGGCCAGCACGTTGTAGAGTGCGCGGATCTCAGGAGTGATGGTGTCGATCTGCACGCCCACGCCGTCGGGGTGCACCCACGACACGCCGGGGCCTTGCACGGTCTCCACGCCGCCGCCGCCCGTGCGCCGAACCTGCGTGTAGCTCCAGATGGTGCCGGGCAGGCGACCGTAATGCTGCGGATGCGAGCCGCCGCCGGGGGGCAGGCCGCCCAGGGCCGCGACGTTGGCGTTGGCATTGGGGCCGGGCGCTGGGGGCCGCAGCAGCTCCGGTCCGGTCTGCACGGCCTGCTCGCGGGAGAAGGTCTTGTAGCGCAGCCTCCGGTCGCGCTCGCTCTGCTGCTGCTCCAGCTGCTTCTCCAGCAGCCGGTTGCGCCTCTCCAGCTCGTGCACCTTGGCCAGGAAGCAGCGGAAGCGCACGTTGAGCCCCTTCAGGAGGTGGATGTTGGATCCCAGGTCGTCCCGCAGCGCTGCGGTCACCGGCGACGGCCCCGGCCCAGCCCCGCC